CAGCTTTAAAACTGATCATGTAATATCACACTTGTTAAATTATTATCGGTTATATTCACTTGTTAGAAAATTGATTTCTAATTTGTTTTGGTGGTGGAGGCATTAAATGTTGATCCGAAAGGCTTTGATCACCATTTAGCATGACATTCTCTTCTTCACTACTATTAACAATATTATTATTACTCATAGAAAAAGATGACATTGAATGATGAATATTAATTGGAACTGGATCCCAAATTAAAGACGATTCATCAACAAATTCAATTCTTCCATAGGAAAGACATGAAGTATCCCTCTCTCTACGTCCCTTCTTATCAAACTTGAGAAATAGAGATGAATCTGAGAATATCCTGTCCTTCTCCTTGATTTTGTATGTTGATGAAGAGGTTGAAGCTGATGATGATGATTTTCCTCTCTGTGATGATTTGTTTGATAAATAGCCATCGTAGCCTTTGATTGCATTACCATTATGCCATGTATCTTGAATGTAATTCTCCTCCGATTGATAGATTTCTTGTTGGAGAATCTTTAATTCGTCCTCTAATTTTTGTCTCCTTCTCAAAAGTTCTTCCATCCATACAGTACACACTCAATAAGAAAATTCTTTTCAATTTCAAAAATAAAAATTAATATTATATGAAAATAATTCAATAATGATTTTTATTCAAAAGGCAAGCCAAAGTTGGGACATTATTATTCAAATTTCCAATTAAATTGCTTTGTGGAATGAATGCGAAAACAAAAACAATACGATTTGAATAAGAAATTTCACTTTAACATGGTAAATAAAAGAAATTGTATTGTTTAGGATCTCCAATATTGAGCCCATCTGTGGATATTTTCCATGAGTTGAGGGAAGAGAGCTTTTTCACTTTCATTGATAATACTTTGCATGTAGACGTTTGCTTCTTGATCATTTAGGTCAAGTTTAAACTTTTCCTGAACTTTCATGATATTTCTAATAGGATCCATACCTGCACCATGTTCCAAATCACGAATATTGGCATCAATCATGAGAATAAACATGTTCAAAATCAAGTGAGCCGACTTTCTCAAAATATTGTAAGCAGTCACACATAGCTCTTTAAATTTGATGTAACCTTCACTCTTACTTCCTCCCATACCTTCTACCATTTCCTTGCAGAGTTTCATTGGGGGAGGGAATGGTTTGGATCTCTG